ACAGAGACACGGTGTTTAGAAAAAATGCATCTCAGCTGTTCCGATACGCCTGACACATATGGGATCACGAGGTTTTTGCTTAGTGTGGCATGGAAACTGCACTGTGGCAGAGAGGAAAGCCCTACAGAGGGTGGTGAGGGCTGCACAGAGAGGCAGCTTCCCAACCGTCACAGACATATACACCTCCAGATGCAGGAAGAGGGCCACTTGTATCATAAAGGACCCCACTCACCCAGCACAAACACTCTTTGTCCCACTCCCCTCAAGCAGGAGGCTGAGGAGCATTAAATGGAAAATCACCAGACTGAGAAACAGCTTCATTCCAGAAGCTGTGAGACTTCTTAATACATAATGGACAAGAAACTGCTACTGGTGCACCTTAAAAATTTCACTACTGATACTTTGCTGCTAGAATATTCATACCTACACTTCTACATCTATACTCCATACTGTTACTCAGGTTGTTGCACTTCACTTATTTGTATTATTCTATTACTTGTCTGTATTATTTATTACTTATTGTATTATTTTATTACTATTTAGTATTATTTTATTACTTGTCTTTCTGTTGTTTTTATGGAAACTGGGACCGTGGGTACGTAATTTTCTTCTACCGCATGTAAACATGCGATGAGAATGACAATAAAGCTTCCTTGAATCCTTGAAAGTGACAACCGCCCCTCCCAAAAGGCAACATTTTTGCGCAAGTACAACCCTGACTTCCTGAAGTATCGGTTTGTGAACGGAAGAAACAAGGCGGACCCGAGAGCCCAATGCGTGGAGTGTGGACTAATGCTATCCAACGAACCACTGAAGCCTTCTAAATTAAAACAGCATCTCAAAACCAAACATCCCACACATGCAAGAAAGTGGGTGGAATATTTCAAAAGAAAAGAAAACGGACTGCAGATGCCAGTCTGTTGTCACTGACTGGTAACTCTAAATGTGCTTTAAAAGCTAGGTATCTCGTATCCGGACTTGTGGCACAGAGTAAAAAGTCTTTTACTATAGTGGAGGAGTTGATTTTGCCTCCCACTGTACATGAGAGGCTGCTGCAAAGAAGCTACTGACCATCCCACTCTCAAACAACACTGTGAGCCACCACATCATGAACATGGACATTGCCCGATCTCTTCACATATCTTCCTCCAAGCTCGGTCCTTTTTATTCCTGTCTCGGTACATAGCAGCTGGTGTCATACAGCTCCGGGTGGTTTGCTACGGCGTTGATGAGCCTTTCCTCCATATTGAATGAAGAATGAAGGGCTTTGGCTGGACCTGCCCCTTTTGACCTAGGTCAGAGCCACGTCACCAGGCTCCTGACTGGTTGTCGCAGCGCGAATTGACGCTGGAGTTCAGATTTTTCCAACTCAAGTGGTAGACGCGATACGCGCAAATGCACAAAATGCAACACAAAAACTGACGTGCGTATTTTCATTCGCGCGCCAGACGCGCTACTTTGACACGCTACTTTGACGCGCGTTTGACGCGTTTGACGCGTTTTCGCGACGCAAATCTGCTTCTGAATTTTTGTGGGACCCACAATCGCGCGTCATCGCGCTTCTCCATTGACTTTACATGTAAACCTGACGCTCTGGTCGCGTCTATCGCGTTCGGTATGAACACACCGTAAGACATACAGCATCAGCCTCTGGAAAGAATAAAAAATAGTCCATTTTTCTCTTTGCAACTAGACAAGTCCACTGATGTCACGAATGGTGCATGCTGCTGGTTTTTGTTTGTTATCACTGGGACAGCAGTTTGCATGTAGACATGCTGTTTTGTGGAGAGCTACCAACACGAGCCACGGCTCAGGAATGTTTCCACTGCATTGACAACTACTTCACTGAGAACAACCTGGACTGGCAGAACTGTGTTGGGTTGTGCAATGATAGTACAGCTTCAATGACTGACAGGCATCACGGCATCATTAGGAAGGAGGTCTTCTCTTTTCTCATGGAGAAAAAAATCTCCTCTTGCACATTATTATGCCAACTCAATCAATCAATCAATCAATCAGTCAATCAATCAATCAATCAAGGCTTTATTCGTCACATGCAGGTTGCCCTGCAGTGAAATGGGACCCCCCCCCGACCTTACACACACAACACAGACATTACATGGGGATACAAGTCAGAGATTGGTAGCGTTACAGAAAAAACACTGAAATATACACTACAATGGGAAAGTACAAGAGGAAAAAAAGAGACCTCTACCAAAACTCCTCTGCACATAAATGTCCACAACACAATATTATGGAACACGTGACAAGCCACAGGGATGGGTAGGGGGTGAGGAGTAATCCGCAGCAGACACAGCAGCCGCCCTGCCCAGCGCTACCATTCCAGCGCAGGCTCAGACCCGCCGTGTTCTCCTGTAGGGCACAAGATTCGAAGGCGTTTGGAAAAGAAGGGGGGATGAGTGTGTGCATATCAGTGTATGTGTGTGTGTGCGTGTGTCCAGAGTTCAGCTGAGACAGTGTCCTTCGCCCTGCCAGGCTAAGTAAACAGTCTTCCAGCCAATTTAGGTGGCCTTGCATGGAATGGGAGGAACAGACAAAACACAGTCGTTATCAGGGAGCTTTTGTTCGGCTCCAGCCTTGAGCCCACAGCTGGCGCCGAAGGGATAGCCGCATGAGTGATGGAGTTTTATTCTTTTATGCAACAGCTCATGAGAATTTCAAGCCGTTCTCTAACACTCCGACACCGACAATGGTCTCTCAATCTCCCGTTGGAGAGCCGCGAGCTTCTCTATGATGTTATTAAACTTTCACTCCGTGGTCTTGTCGTTCTTGTGCTCAGAGAGCAGATTCTGAGACCTCATGACCGCCGGGAGCTGTTCCAAGATGTGATCCAACTTTCGCTCAGAGGTGTTAACATGAGTGAACTTCTCCTTGATGAAATCCCATGTACGCTCAGAGGTCTTATTCTGAGTATTCACAGCAGCCGCAAGCTTCTCCAAGATCTTAACCATGCTGCCCTCAGTGAGCCCATTCTGAGAAGTCGCGCCTCGTCCCATCGTTTCAATCCCAGCGGGCAGCCTTTGGGGGGGTTTGAACAGCCGGTTCCGCTTTCTTAATTCTCCGATAAGCCAGGGCCAAGCCAGCACCGATCACCAAGAACCCTGCTATCATGGTTCCAAATAGGTAGATATCTTCAGTGTCCTCGATGGACAGTCCCGCCAGGCACACGACCCTCCAGTTATGCCACCCGTCCATCGTGTATCCGGCAAGTAAAGTACCTCCAGGGCACTCTGGCTCTCCCGAGCCGGGGCTTCTCGTTGAGAAGAGCGTGTCAATTGCATTCAGAGACCAGTTGATCAAATCCATAATTCTCTTTTAGGTTTTAGAAACAGACTGTAAGAGAGTGTTCCAGGGAAAAGTAAAAACACAAGACAAGACAAGGACATAAGAAGCTAAGCAGGGAAGATAAGGAGCAGGAGAGGAGAAAAAGTGCGACCGCCTTCGCCGAGAGCCAACAGAAGCTGTTGAAAGTTCACAGCTAAGCTTTCCTACCTCTGTGACATTTTTTCACTGCTGAACAAGTTCAAGGGAGAAACAGCAACCTTTTTTTTGTTGCAGACAAAGTTGAAGCTTTCAAGAGGGAACTTGCTTTGTGGACTAAGAGGGCCCAGGAAAAGAGGATGGACACGTTTCCTCTTTTGTCTCACATCTTTGAAAACTCCCCTCAGGGGAAGATCAGTGACTCTGTCTGTCAGCACCTTTCACAACTGACAGAGAAATTTGATGAATATTTCCCTTAGGATCCTAGAGAAGGACACGTGGATTTCTGTAGATCCCACTGAAAATGATGTTGCTTTGCCCTCACATCTGGAATTCTGGAAGTTTCCACCGACAGCACTTTAAAGTTGCAGTGGGACAAACTGGACATGGGTACTCCTTTGAGACAGCAATCCAGAAGGAGCCCATGTCTGGCACTGAGAGCTGTGAAACTCCTCCTCACATTCTCAACTACATATCTGTGTGAATCAGGATATTCCACTGTGGCCACAACCAAGATCAAAGCCTGAAATAGACTCAGAGCAACAATGGAAGCTACTCTGAGAGTTTCCCCATTCCACCCAGATTGGATATGATTGTGTCAGAGGCAGACTCAAGTGTCTCATTAAGAGGTGAATATAAAAGGGGAGTTGCAGCTTGTCAAAAAAAAAAAATGAACTGTTGTGACTATTTGTTGTTCATTTGTCTCAAATGTAAAGAGGGTTTTACTGCTGAAGCAACTTTCAAATTCACTTACAGATTAAAAGGCTATATTTTCATTTGCACTTTATTTAAATTTTATTTATTTATATCTTTCTTTCTTTCTTTATTTATCCATTTAATTAGAAGATTATTTTGAATGTATTTATTTTATTACCACATTATTAATCCGATTTCTAGTTTTCCTTTTTTTTCTTTGTCTCGTTTGTTGTAGTAAAATTAAATTACTAATTATTTTGTGCTATTAAGCCTGACTTGAGCCTTTCAATTTTTACTTGCAGTTTGATTTGTTCCATGAATTGTTAACCTGTTTGGCATTTTGTTTTATGTGCAGGTTCACATGCACATAATAAATACATGTGTTTGTGATTATTACATTGTATCATGTCATCATCATGTTTATTTGACATGGTCTTAGTTGTTAAAATTAAGTAGATTTGATTTAGTTATTAAAGTTAAATCAAACCAAAAGCAACAACAATTTATTCAATACATTGTTAATATCTGAATGGGGCCCGGGCCACTTGTAGTGGAAAAGTTGGGCCCCAAGGTAAAAAAAACAAAGGTAAGAATCTCTACTCTATTCAGTGAATAAAGAATATATTCAGTTGTTTGTTTTTCTATATCTTTTCTCTTGAAAGATGTTTAAATATGGGGATTTTGACGTTTTAATTACAATTTTGTCCTTCAAGAATTATTATCATAATCTTATTAAAAGATAGTAATGTAAAACCAACTTTTTTAAAAAACATAAAAGAATATTGTTTCTGTGTTTCAAATAGAAATTGGAAATGAGGCATCATCCAGATGTTTTGACGCTGCTGTTGAAAAGATTTAGGTTTGACCATCGATACCAAGAACATGTGAAAATAAAACGAGCAGTCACAGCTCCTGACACTCTACAAATACCAGAGGTATACTGAATATTTCATTATGTTGTCATTACTTTTTATTTTCTAATTCCTGATACTAATTTCTTTCTTTTTTTTACCCATTATCAGAACCAGACCTATGAGCTTTATGCATTTGTCGAGCACTTTGGTGACTTGAGATCCGGACATTACACCGTAACAATCAAATCGCAGGATGATGACAGATGGTACAACTTCAATGATACCTGTGTCACATTGGTAAGCCTGATTGATTTTTTTTCCACTGGTATTGTTCCCAAGACATGAATACTTTAACACATATTAATGCAGTTTTGTGCTTAATAGAAAAAAGTATTTAGCCTATAGATGATCACCTTTGTATTCTTTATATTAACAGCTTCCAGAAAGACCATTCCAGCTGGACAGAAATAACACGTAAGCTTTTATCTGAATTTTCTTCCAAAACAAACATTTACTGAATATTAAACTGACCCTACTTTACTTTTACCATGCTCTTACTAGATCCAGCAGTGCTTATCTTCTGTTCTACAGGAGAAAGAAAAGTAAGATGGGAAACATTTATGATTAACTTATTGATGTTTCTGTGAATGATTGTATCACACTGGCAGTTTGAAATGATTTTGACTGTTTTGATTTCATTTCCAGTGCATGCTGCAGACACACAACACATCAGTGAGGCACCCACTGGTGGAGCTTCAGCCAATGAGCAACAAGAACAGGTTGTAAAGACCACAGGGAGAGACGAAGGTGAGGCAGCAGGCATGGACCATAACCTTGTGGACATACAGGGAAAAGATCAGCAGATGATAATGAATGATGTAGAGAATAAAGATGAAAGTAAACAGGAAAAGGAGAAAGAAAAGTACTCGGCAAAAAACAAGAAAAACAAAGACATGGAACATGTAGACAATGAAAGCAGTGACCAAATTACAAAGAAAAGAAAAACTGATAATCAGGAGTCTGATGACCACAAGAATGATGTTGTGCATCAGCAGAATGCAAATTTAAAACCCAGAAAAGGCAGTGATCACCAGGATAACCAACACAGTCTGACAGTCAAACAAAATGAAGAAATGAGAGAGTACAGACTAAGAGATAAGGACAAGCAGATGATGATAGCTGAGATGGTAGACAGTAATAGCACAGATGAAGCTAATAGAGGTAAAACAAGAGATGTGAATAGCGGGTCTGTAGTGCATAAAGACTCCTCTGATATGTTTCAAAGCAGTGGAAAGGTGGATGAAGGTAAGCGGAACATGTCAGAGAATGATGAAGAGCAAAAGAAAAACGATAAGCAGCATGAGACAGATGGTGAAGCTGCACAAAGAAGAGATAAAACAAAAAGAGACTTTTGTGAGAGTGGAAAATACAAGTATAGCTATCTATTAGCTGATGACAGTCAAAGCAAAGAACAGCACAATCTGGGACAAAAAGTCAGGCATGAATGTGTGGAAGGAGAGATTATAGAAAAAAAACAAAAAAACACTGGACATGATGGAGGAAGAGAGTGGTCTTTGTCAGGAAGCAACCGTTTGACAGAGAACTACAGAAGCAGCACTGGTGATGAACAAATGAAACCACACAGTCAGTCAGAACTATGGGTTACTCAGTCACACAGCAGACCTAGAAGTGTTAGTGAAGACATGGAAGGTATCGGTTCAGAGAAGGAAGATCAGACAATTAATATTCAAAGCATGAACACACAGACACAAAAAATGTCAGAGGACGTAAATGACATGTTCAGTAAGTTTAAAGAATTAAATCTAAATGAGCCACTGCACTTTGGACCAAAATTTAAAAACAACAGCGAGGCTAATGAACATAAAAAGAAACGTAAGGGGCATGAACAGGTATTCAGTAATATTTCAGAAACAAAACAAGAGCAGCAGAAAGAGATAATAAAATATGGACGATCAAGACAGAATACCTCACAAATCTACACCTATTTTCAAACAACATTAACCCGACATGATGATGAAAGTAGCACTTCTAAGCAAAATGGCCAGAGGTCGCCACAACTTGAAATTCATTCTGTAGAGGTTATTGGCCATGAAGAGATAATAAAAATGAAACTGAAGAGAGATTATCAGCAAATTCCAGGAGATGTAGATCAACAACAGACTGGAGATCACACAGGAAAACAAAACAATGATGAGGAAGTTAAAAGAGAGCAAACAAAAGAAATATCCAAACCATACTGTGGGGAGAGTGGAAAAGATTAGTACAATGTGCAATTAGATAATGTTACTCAGAGCAGAACACAGGAGGACTCTGAAATTATACAAAGCTGTGGGTTAAGAAGCTTTTGTTGGAGACAAAAAAGCAGTAATTGTAGTAAATGATGAAGCATGTGACTCAATGAAAGGTGAACTGTACACCAGATTCAGAATTTGAGTGTGAATGTTACATTTAGTAACAAAAATGACAGTGGAAAAATAGAAAACAGTCATAAGAAAAATGTTTCATAGAGGAATAAAATAGGAGAATGAGAAACAAGACATGGTGTAAGTAAGAGTGATCAGAGCTCAGAGCCTGAATAGTATAACATAACATAAAATGTTATTTTACCAGAATGTTCTAGTAATTTTCAGATTTTTAATGTATTCATCAGAGATCGGCTGGAATCATGTGAAATGCTGTAAAATTGTTTCCTTTCTTCTTCTTCTGTATTTCCTTTTTTGGTGTATTTTACGTTGGTATTGGTAATGAAGTTTACTTTGTTCATTTTGGTTAACTTTGTTCCATTTTTATCAGGTAATATGTATTATTTCCTGTTCAAGGGCCGAAGAGCATCAGTTTAAATGAGTTCATAAAAAAAAAACTTATTTATAGGGAAAGTTTCTGAAATTTTATATATGGGTTTTTTTCTTAATGTTTACTGATTTCTAATTAAACTTATTCAAAATAGTGTATAAATATATTTAATGAATCTGTATGAGGAGGATAATTTCACATTTAGATTCTACATATTAGTATGTTTTTAGTTTTACTGTTTGTACTGTAGAAGTCTGAAGACATAAAATATCTATTTGGTCACAGTGTTAGGACTTGTGAACTTCACTGTAACCACTGAGTATTTAATACATATTTTTAAAAAACTATTTTGAAAAAAAAATACTTAGAGATTAGATACTTAGGTTAGAGATGCTTGTTGTTATAATATGACTCTGATGAGAAACCTGTCAAACACTGGATCATAATAAACTGTGTGAATATGCCTCCACTTCAAGCTCATGCCCATATAATTTCTTTGAATCTATGCTGCAAACGATATATTTTAACTGCCATATACACTATAAATAAATAGTAGTTTTAATTGTTCTCTGAGTGATATTTTACCATTTCACCGTTTCAACACTCTGTCCTTGTTTTACAAGATCCAGTTCTGTGCATCTGACAGTCCACAACAGTGCAAGGACTGTAACAGGACGTATCAGATGACACAAACAAACAACTTTACCAAACTTAATACTCTCTATTCATTATTGATTTGATGATTTTTGCTTTTCCATGGAGAAAATTTTGTCTCAAAAGTTTTAAAAGTGCGTATGATAAGATCCAAACAAAAAAAGAAACATGTTTTATTTGAAAAAATGCAGGAATACAAAGGAAGCCCAGTTTTCCACTGGAATTTGAACACAGTTTATATTTGTGGATCTGTGGGAAATTGGCAGTGTGAAATTTGTATCCTAACATCCTGTGGGCATGAAACGTGATCTGTTCGTATCAGGCAATTTGCCTAAACACACATTTAAGGTTGTGCAAGCAAGCGAGTGAGATGTTATGTGTATTTTTTATTTTAATTTTTTTTGTACAAATTTGCATGCACAGAAAGCTTTTTGAAAGAGAAAATGATCCGGGAAGCTGAACTTAATAACTGTGCACAAATTATTAGTATTTATTCAGGTGAGTGCCCAAAACTTACCCATATAACACTACACTTTTGTAAATCTTACGCATGTGGATTATATCATATGGATTTGTTACACTTTTGAGACAAATTTTTCTCTATAGGTTTATATATCTATAACACATTCATTACTGCAAAACAGGTTTAGTTTTCCAAACTCAACTTCTTCATTAGATTTTCAATGCTTGAAAAAGTCTAGATGATAAATAATGTTAACTAGGGCACTCAAGTAAAGTGTTTATTTTTTGCATTTTGAAGTAGATAGCATTAGCTGAAATCAACTTAATGGTATAAGCATCATAAAAGAAATTCAAGAATGGATTTGTTGGATACAGTAGTTCAGACATGCCACAAATAACCTTTAGGTCTTGGCATTGTGTTAATTTTTTTGGAATGTGTAATGTAGACATATATAGTATATCAGTAGTCACCAGTCAGCCTTATGTTTCAAGCTCACAACTGCCCTTAAAATCACACTAACAGTAGTAAAATCAAGGGCAAGATCCTGAGATGAAAAAATTAAGCCATCACAAAGTGCCAAAATGTTCCTATAGTGGCCTGGTCCCTGGTCTGACCTGGTCCCTGAACACATCACACCTGATGAAGAAAACCCAACAAGGGCCAAATGTATTGCTACAGACCCCACTCACCCTGGCAATGGACTATTTATACGGCTTCCTTCTAAAAAGTGGTATAGGAACATAAAAACAAGCACCAACAAACTGTGAAAAAGCTTCTTCCCCAGAGCTGTGAAATCCATTTCAATTCTGTGACTTTTTCCACCTATTTATTCTGTATACCTGCACACAGGGATAATGTGCATACAAATGTCTTAATGTGCTGCTTTTATAGTGTTAGTGGCATTACGTGACCTGTGGAACATCCTGTTAGCTGGCGGGTTGTATGCAACGATGCGGTGGATCCTGATCCCCCAGCCATTAGCCATGGCAGACTGAAGCTCTGAAGCTTACTAGGGGCCTCTGTCAGAGGTAATGTCGGCAGGAGGACCGAAACGCCAAACCTAAGTTGAACAAAAAAAAAATTAAAACGTACAGCTCTGCTATCACTTCCAACATAAATGAAGACAGACAACTAAACAGCAGTGACTTTTGTAGGGTTACTGAAGTTGGACTAGCTGGTATATGATAACGTGCTATGTGATTGCTAGCAACACAGCTATGTTAGCACAATATAAACACAGTGAAGCTAGAGGATGAATGCTAACTTTTTTCCACTCAATAAAATTTAATGTGGGGGTTCCCCATGGTTAGGGACAAATGCAATCGCATAACAGGATGCTGTAAACGGACCAAACTTTAGCCAGGAGAGTAAGTGGGGATAGGTTAATTCATCATCTAAATTGCCCATAGGTGTGAATGCGGGAGTGAATGTGAGTGCGAATGGTTGTCTGTCTCTGTGTGTTAGCCCTGCGACACTGGCGACCTGTCCAGGGTGTACCCCGACTCTCGCCTCTCGACAGCTGGGATAGGCTCCAGTGCCCCCCGTGACCCTGAAAAGGATAAGCAGAAGCGAATGGATGGATGGATGAATCAATGGTGGAAGCAAGAAAAATGAGTTGAGTAAAGTTTGAGTTATCTGACTGTTTTGTTTTGCTTAATGCGCCTTATAATCCGGTGCGCCTTATATTCCGAAAAATAGGGTCTTAAAAGGATATATTCTAATATATTCTAAACTTACTTATCATTTTTATGATGGCTAAAAGTGCAGCTGTATAATAAGTTTAGACTTCTATTTAAAAACCAAAACCATCAAGTAATTCAGAACTTCTCCGCCCAATTGAAAGAGAACAGTAACATGATTTAATAAGTTGCTATCTCTGACTAGGTTTTGGATTTTATAAACTATGTTAATCTATGTTATTTGTGTTCTATGCACTAGTTGTTAGTGGGAGGGGAGAGCTAACGTAGCACGTTAACAGCAGGGTGGAGGAATTTCATGGTTTCTATGCCACCAGTTTTTTTAAACATTTGTTGGGAAACTTTTATTGAACTTAGAGTAAAAAAAAACAAAAAAATGATTAAACAAAGAAAAATATTTGTCAGCTCATTTAATGCTATTTAATTTGATTTGTCTCTTGTTTTTTCACTCTGCAAGTATGTGTGTTGACTTTCACAGAGTAACTGACCACTGAGTGAAAAGAACTTAAGACGAGCACATCAAAAATCCTAACCAGAAGACGTGTTACTGAATGTTTTGTGTCTTGAGAGCTGAAGGCAGCTTGGGGAGAATGAGAACATGAAAACTGTCCATAATGCTAAATATGACTTTATTACGTAATGAAGGAGATAAACCAGTGAAAAAGTCCAAAGCAATGTATGACCACAGCTGCTCCAGCATGGGAAGAGGTATAAATAAGCTGACAGGAGGAGACCTAGAGGATTTATTTTGTGTACACACTGAACAAGCAGAGATGTACTCATGAACACCTTTAGCAAGAGAAGGTAGCCAGAATAGACACCGCAAAAACAAGATTCTAGAATGTGGATATATTTATTTTAAAATGTACAGCCTAAAAATAAAAAGTTGTCAGAAAAATAAATATCCAATACTCTGACACTTGAAAATTCTACCTAAGACACCAATACATATGGAAGCATTTGTATTTCATCTCTTCCCACCTCTGCAAATTCTAAAAAAAAAAAAAAAAAAAAACCTTTTGTAAGAGTCTTCCAATTTTGAAATTTGGTTCAAATTGTAATTTGGATAATTATGGAAGGTCAGGGATAAGGTGAAAGAGTGAATATCTATAGCCATCTATAAAACATGTGGCTCTGACATGATTTGGGGCTGTATTTTAGCTAGTGGTGTTGGGGATTATGTCAAACTTCATGAAATTATGAACACAGAAAAGTGCCATCAGATTCTGATCCACCAAGAAATACCATCTGAAAAGCATGTAATTGGCAACAGTTTTATTATTCAGCATGACAGTGATCTCAAACACACTGCCAATGTAGTAAAAGAATACCTAGAGAAACAGATAGTGGAGCACCATCAGTCATGGATTGGCCTCCCCAAAGCCCAGACCTCAACATTATTGAAGCAGTGTGGGATCAGTTCTCTTGGCAGAGGCGGACGCATCTTTTTTTCCCTCTCCCTCCCTTATCTTTCCCTGCTTGGCTTCTATGTCCTTGTCTAGTCTCATCTAACTCTAACCCTTAGGTAGTCTCTCAGTCTTGTTCTTTAAAAGCTAAAGAATTCTGGATTTGATCAACTGGTCCCTTAATGAAATTGACACCCTATTCTCGACAAGAAGCCTGGGCTCGGGAGTGCCTGATTGTCCTGCAGAGCAGTAGCGGTTTTTGATACGGGCGACACGGGTGGTTGCCCGGGGTGGCATCGTGGTGGGGGGGGGCGGCATCACGGGCATCGGCAAAAAAAAAAAAAAATGCCCGTACTCATGCTGCCCCGACATCAGCCAGCGCATATTGGGAATGGCATAGGCACCGATCGGTTTTCTATCGCCCATTTGCTGGGAGTAAGGGCGCCCTCCGTTTGCGAGGTGCGCCTGCTGCTTGCGGCACAGGGAGGAGAGGGCGGGGGATTCACTGGCTGGCTGGAGCAGCATCTAATAACCAACTCGCAAAATAAAACAAAATTGAAAAAAAAAAACAAACAAACACGAAAACACCAGACATTATGATACAGACATAATTTGCACCGATATTTTTTCGAAATTCTATACGCGAGAGTCCTCAGTGCACCTGCTTGCTGCTGTGCTGAAGTCAAAGTAAACTTTATTGTCACCTCTGCTACATACAGTCCAGTATATAGAGAGACGATACGACAGTTACAGCAGTGCAAGTAAACAAGCAATAAATATAAGAAGAGTAAGAAAATAAATATACACTTTAGGACCAGGGGTAAAGGGATCAATAACAATTTAAAATTTATAATTTACAATTTGATGATCTAAAGTCTCACACACAACCCGTCGAAAGGGGAGGGAGGCCGGCTGCTTCCAAATAGAGCACATTTCATTCATAATTATGTAAATCCAAGCCCATTATGTATTCATGATTTGAATCCTAGGTTGTGTGAAATCCCAGAAACACACCTTAGACAAAGTGAATCTGTGCAAAATTAAAACCAATGGAAGATGGACAAGAAAAGTTCAAAGCCATCAGGTGCTCAGTTTAGAAAAAATAGAAAAGAGGAGGAGGAGAAACGAGCAAAAGATACAGGTAAGCAGATGTGTCATTGGATAATGGCACGTCATCCTGAAACAATCAGAATCAGAATACTTTATTAATCCCTAAGGAAATAATGTGGATTACAGTTGCTCCAAAAAGAAATGGTAAAAATAGGGCTTTGGAGCGTGATGTCACGGGGGTAGGCGTGGAAAGGATTTTGGCGTGATCCGCCATTTTCGGGGTCAAAACAAAGTGCA